TAAACTCAGACCAGACATCTGTTGCATACAAGAATTTCACCTTACCTTAAAGCAGGGGTTCTCAACATTCTTAATGCCACAGCCCTTTAATACAGTTTCTGTGGGTTGAGAACTGCTGCCTTAAAGGATAAAAATTAACTCAAGGTGAAGGATGGACATCTATAATTCAGGACAATAGAAATCAGAAAAAAGCAGGTGTTGCAATTCTATACACAGACACAATAGGCTTTAAACCAGCAATGGTAAGGAAAGATAATGATGGTCACTTCATATTTGTCAAGGAAAACACCCAACATGAAGAGATTTCAATTATACATTTATGCACCTAACTAGGATGCCCCTCAATTCATAAAGGAGACCCTAATAGACATGAAAAATTTGATATCTTCCAAAACCATAATAGTTAGAGATTTTAACACCCCTTTGGCAGTGTTGAATAGATACTCCAAGATTAAAACAAGTAAAGATATTTTGGACTTGAACCTGACGACAGAACAACTTGGCTTAACTGACATCTACAGAACATTTCATCCTAATAAAACTAAATACACATTCTTCTCATCAGCCCATGGAACATCCTCCAAAATTTATGACATCTTAGGTCAAAAGTCTAACCTCAGCAAATTTAAAAGAATAGAAATTATGCCTTGCATTTTCTCAGACCATCATGGAATTAAAGTTGAACTCAACAATGATAGGAATCTTCAAACCCATACAAAGTCTTGGAAGCTAGATAACCTTATGTTGAATGAGAGCTGGGTCACAGAAGAGATAAGAAGGAAATTACCAAAACGACAATGAAGACACAAATTATCAGAACCTATGGGATACTGCAAAGGCAGTGCTAAGAGGGAAATTTATATAGCATTGCAAGCCTTCCTCAAGAGAATAGAAAAAGAGGAATTCAACTTATTGGGGCATCTTCAACAACAGGAAAAGGAAGAACATTCCAACCCCAAACCCAACAGAAGAAAAGAAATAACCAAAATTAGAGCAGAATTAAATGAAATTGAAAACAAAAGAATTATTCAAAAGATCAATGAATGAAAAAGTTGGTTTTTTGAAAAGATTAACAAAACTGATAAACCTATGGCTAACCTAACCCAAAACAGAAAAGTAAAATCCCTAATACCATCAATCAGAAATGATAAAGGCGAAATAATAACAGACACATCAGAAATTCAAAAAATACTTAATGATTACTACCAAAGACACTATTCTCAGAAATATGAAAATCTGGAGGAAATAGTCTAATACCTGGAAACACGCCAACCTCCTGGACTCAGCCAGAAATAATTGGAAATGTTGAATACACCTGTATCAACTACTGAAATAGAATCAACTATACAAAATCTCTCAAAAAAGAAAAATCCAGGGCCAAATGGTTTCACTTCAGAATTCTACCAAACCTTTAAAGAGGAACTTGTACCCATATTACATAACCTTTTCCAAAACATAGAAAAAGAAGGAAAATTCCCCCTAACACATTCTATGAAGCAAATATCACCCAGATCCCCAAACCAGGAAAAGACCCAGGAAGGAAAGAAAAATATAGACCAATTTCTGTAATGAATATAGATGCAAAATTCTTTAATAAGATCCTAACAAACGGAATCCAGCAACACATCAAACAAGTTATACACCATGACCATGCTGGTTTGACCCATGGTCTCAAGGTTGGTTCAACACATGTAAATCTATAAATATAATAACCACGTAAAAAAAAACAAAACAATAAAGACCATGTGATTCTCTCAGTTGATGCAGAAAAAACTTTTGATAATATGAAGCATCCTTTCATGATCAGAACACTTAAGAAAATAAGTGTAGAAGGGACATTTCTTAAAATGATAGAGGCCATCAACAGCAAACTCACAGCCAGCATCATGTTGAATGGTATAAAATTGAAAACATTTCCACTCAGATCAGGAACCAGACAAGGTTACCCATTGTCTCCATGGCTTTTTAACATTGTAATGGAAGTCTTAGCCATTGCAATCTGGCAAGAGAAAGTGATCAAGGGTATCCAAATAGGGTCAGAGGAGATCAAACGTTCAATTTTTGCAGATGATATGATTTTATACCTAGAAAACCCCAGGGACTCAACGATAAAACTCTTAGAAGTGATCAAGAAATACAGCAGCATCTCAGGATACAAAATCAGTATTCACAATCAGTAGCTTTTATATATACCAATAATAGTCAAGCTGAAAAATGAGTCAAGGACTCTATTCCTTTTACAGTAGTGCCAAAGAAAACGAAAACTTTGGGAATTTACCTAACAAAGGACGTGAAAGATCTCTACAAAGAGAACTATGAAACTCTAAGAAAAGAAATAGCCAAAGACATTAACAAGTGGAAAAATATACCATGCTCATGGCTGGGAAGAATCAACATTGTTAAAATGTCCATACTACTCAAAGCAATCTACAGATTTAATGCAATCCCCATTAAAGCACCACTGTCATACTTTAAAGATCTGGAAAAAAATAGTACTTCATTTTATATGGAATCAGAAAAAATCTTGAATAGCCAATACATTACTCAGAAGTAAAAACAAATCAGGAGGAATCATGCTACCAGACTTCAGGCTATAGTGATCAAAACAGCATAGTACTGGCACAAAAACAGAGAGGTAGATGTATGCAACAGAATAGAGAACCAAGAGATGAACCCTGGTACTAACTGTCATTCAATCTTTGATAAGCCTATCAAAAACATTAGTGGGAGAAAGACTCCCTATTTAACAAATGGTGCTGGGTGAACTGGCTGGCGACTTGTAGAAGACTGAAACTGGACCCACCACACCTTCACCATTACTAAAAATTGATTCTCACTTGATTAAAGATTTAAACTTAAGACATGAAACTATAAAGATACTTGGAGAGAGTGCAGGGGAAACACTTGAAGAAATTGGCCTGGGAGAATATTTTATGAGGAGGACCCCCCAGGCAATTGAAGCAACACCAAAAATATATTACTGGGATCTGATCAAACTAAAAAGCTTCTGCACAGCCAAGAACACAGTAATTAAAGCAAGCAGACAGCCCTCAGTACAAGAGAAGATATTTTCAGGTTATGTTTTTGACAAAGGTTTGATAACTATAATCCACAGAGAACTTGAACGAATTAATAAGAAAAGAACAAGTGATCCCATTACATTGTGGGCAAAGGACTTGAATAGAAACTCCTCTGAGTAAATCAAGTGCATGGCCTACAGACACATGAAGAAATGCTCATCATCTTTAATCCTCAGACAAAGGCAAATCAAAACCACCTTGGGATACCACCTAACTCTAGTTAAGAGTACCACATAACAAAATTCCAAAACTACAGATGTTGGTGTGGATGTGTAGAAAAGGGAACACTTCTGCACTGCTGGTAGGAATGCAAGCTAATATGTTCCTTTTGGAAAGAAGTTTGGAGAACACTCACGGAACTAAAAGTAGACCTGCCATTCTCCTGCAATTCCTTTACTAGGTATATATCCAGAAGATCAAAAATCATTTTACAACAAAGATGTCTGCAATGTTTATTGCAGCCAAATTCATAATTGTCAAGTCATGGAAGAAGCCCAAGTGCCCATTGACCCATGAATGGATTAACAAACAGTGGTATATGTATACCAAGGAATATTATGCAGCTTAAAAAAGATGGAGACTTTACCTCTTTTATGTTTACATGGATGGGGCTGGAACATATTCTTCTTAGTATCGTATCTCAAGAATCGAAGAAAAAGTATCCAATGTACTCAGTACTATTACGAAACCAATATATAATCACCCACACTTTCATATGAATGATAAAACACAACAATAGCCCAGGATTAAGAAGGGAAGAGGAGGGGGAGGGGAGGCAACGAAAGGGGAAGGGAGAGGCCAGCTGGAGGGTATTTGGTGGGACCTCACCTATGATGCATGTTTCAAGGGTACATGTCAAATCTATTAAGAGTATAAATGTCTTAAAACAATAAGTGAGATGAAAGCTATGTTAACCAGTTTTATGTAAGCATTCCACAGTGTATATTAAATTAGCATCTTGTACCCCGTAAATGTATTAATGTACACAGTTACAATTTAATAAAAAAATTGTTAAGAGAAAAAAGAATTTTAGTTAAAACAAGTGTAATAAATGCAATATGTAACATATATCAACCAGAGGGGAAACACAAATTTCTCAACTTATATATCTAAAAACAAATAATCCTTCTTTTTTTTTTTTTTTTGAGACAGTCTCACTCCATCACCCTTGGTAGAGTGCGGGGCCTTACAGCTCACAGCAACCTCCAACTCCTGGGCATAGGCAATTCTCTTGCCTCAGCCTCCCGAGTAGCTGGGACTACAGGCACCTGCCACAACCCCCTGGGTAATTTTTGTTGCAGTTTGGCCGGGGCTGAGTATGAACCCGCCACCCTGGGTATGTGGGGCTGGTGCCCTACTCACTGAGCCACAGGTGCTGCCCAATAATTCTTTTTTTAGTGTAGCATTTTATTGACTTCAAACTTACGATAATATGTATATTGATTTATGTCACTTAGGTCTGTTAACTTACAATCTTTCTAATAATCACACAAATTTAGTTCCACACACATGCAGATTAAGTGAAAACACCTACTACCCTCAAAAGAAGGAAAATAACAAATCTTCCTGGGGTTTAAGCCAAGACACCACCAAGAAAACTCCTAAGTATAAAGAACAGCAGCATCTCCCTGGCAGCCACTGCACACTGGATAGTCCCTGCTGGCGGGCATTGGGAAATAGGGCTCACAGCAGAGCGTGTTCCACTCGGGCACTGGGGAAGGGAGAAACCCCGTGTCCAGAGAGACACCCCCGAGTTCCTAGATGGCTCTTTGGGGTGAGGGGCCGTGCAGGGAGCTTCTGGGTCCAGGTGTTGCCCCCAGCACAGCCATCACTCACAGAGCCACGTCATCCACAGAGCCACTGGTCCCCAGCTGGGCAGCCCCCTCCCCAACCGGCGGGCAGGCCCCCAGGGTGCCTTACCTTGGAGGCCTGGGGCGTGGAGAGCACGTGCACTGTGCTGGGCTTGACGCCGTTGGCCTTGGGCCGCGTGTAGAGCGCGAACCTGCTTTTCCTCCGCCCTCTGTCGCCACTGGGTAAAGTCCCATTGTACCTAGAAAGGGGTGAAAGAAAGAGCTTAGTTATTGGCAGACTATGCAAGGTCCAAGCATAAAAGTGAGAGGAGAGGACAGGAATGGCATCAGCAATGCCCAAGGACTCCCACAGAAGAGCTACAAAGCCCACCAGAGCTGCGGTAAAATCCGGGCCAAGAGTGCGAGGGGTACACAGGGCAGGTCTCCCGGTCCACACAGTCGCACCTACCAGGCAGTGAACAAGCGCGGCCGCCGCAGCACTGGCTCAGCGCGGGTAGCACGTCCTAACGCGCTTTAGAAAAACACCCCAGAAACATTTTAAATGAACTAGTTAGAAAATAGCGTACTAGTTAAACCTCATCTCTCACTTTTAAATCATGTTAACGCTGGCTGTAGGATCTGTATTTGTAAGAAGAGAAAGTTTAATTACTTGCTTTCTTAAAAGTTCTCAATTCTCTACAGTCATCCTCATTTCTATCTGAACCCTGTATTGTTGGGTTAGCCAGAGATAGCTTGCAGAAATTAAATACTTTTTGTTAGCAAAAATTAGCTTGTAAAAAATATATATTTAAGTTTTAATCCACAAAAACTCATCTAGAAAACATATGATGTCCTTAAGCAGATTTCTTCTGTTCAGCTAACACTAGCGCTCAGAGATTCAGGGCTGCATTTCCACTTCCAGCTGAGTTTTCTAGCTCTAGATCTTCTCCCCAGTGTGTCTGCTGCTGTCCCACACCATCACCCTGACACAACTGCTCTCTGCTTCTACCTAGCAGAAGCTCTTTTCAAGAAAAAAATTAGAAGGGAAGGGAATCATCTAAAATTTATGTGGATAAATAGGTCTTCCCAAGGCTCACTCAAAGGGAGACAGCAAGTCAGGGACAACAAGACTTGTAGCTGTGCCCATCTTATCTGTCTTGTCTGCAGACCCTTGGACTTCCTGGTTTCTCCAGCTACCCCAGAGAGAAGAGAATTGTAGGAGAAAGTTGTGGGGTGTGGGCCCCGCGGGATAAGAGCAGAAGCTGGAACCAAGGGGCTGGGTGTGTCTGTTTCACAAGTCAAGCATAGCAACCACAGTCTGACAATGGCTTTAGATCCTCATTGGACATTATTCCCACTGGGTTTTAAATCTCTATTTCCATCACCAAAGAATGTTAACTATATTAAAAAAATGTCTCTAGACTAAAAAGAAGTTCAAGTCTTATTCCTCTCTTCTTCTCAGGCAGGATCAAAATAATGTACATAATTTTTTAAAATATATCTGTGATCTCTGTACAGTATCCATGAGTCAACAACCATTACAATTCCACTTTGTTTTAATATATTTCCACACACTGAAATCAAGCTGCACATTCTATACTAAAGGAAAAATCAAGGAACATTTCCACTGCGATAGACTGGAGGCTGTCAGCAGGAATCTGGCACTTTCCCACGCTCCTCATTTCACCTGGCTAGGCTCTGTGCTGTGCTCGCCCCACCCCCACTCAGCCCCTCAAGCTTGGTCAAGAGGTGCTAGCAGCCTATGGCACACCCTCCTTAGCTACCACACACAGCTGTGTGGCCTTTTCTGGAATTACTCTATAACTCTCAAAGGTGAGCCCCGGCACCATATCTGCATGTAGTGGCCATGCCGACCTCCTCCCCACCACTCTGCAGCTGATTGGCCAGAGGCTGACCCTGGCCCAAGCTGTTCAATGACATTCTCACCCTGAAAAACAGCAAGCTGGGTCTGAGAGATAGTCATCCATTCTCTGTCAGTGGCAAGAGCCGTAAAATGCAAACAGGAGCTGCAGGGCTGTCACACCGTTACACAGCTAAAGAAGCAGAAAGTGAAGAGCACACAGGTGAACAGAGACAGCAGCAATGGGCAATGAAAAGAGGACCCTCTCCTGGCCCAGAAGTACTCTCACCCTTCCTGGTGAAATTCTTTCTCGTTTCAGCTAACTCAGCTTGCTTTCTGCTACTTACAACCCAAAAGCCATATCAATAGATAGGAGGGAAAATCAGAAAAAATTAGAAATGTCAACTTTAATACCTGGAGCAGCATTTTAATTTAAATTGCCTGAGCAAAGATGTATAGATATTGCAGGGTAAGCAAATAATAAACCAGTCTGCTTACAAACTGCCTACTTACTTAGTATGTCCAGATGAAAAATCCTGTTGGAAATAATTACAGTAGTAGTGGAAAACCCAGTGTCAAGTTTCTAGTTATGTTAGGCCACATGGTCACACATTTGACATTTATAATGACAAGCACTAGAATAACAGTGCTCAGATTCCCACTAAGGAGGAGAGAAAGGCACAAAAACAAGTGGCACAATACACAAGTCACAAGAGCCACGAGCACAGGAAGAGGCATTGAGGATGACGTCCAGGGGGAAACTGCTTGAACTGCCTTAACATCTCAGCAAGAACACTAAACAGGGGGTGCAGGGCAGCAGACTCCAGGTAGGGAGAACTGCAGATAGCATGGAGTTCAAGAGGAAGAGGAGGGAATAGGGAGGATGAAGGGCAGGGGCCAGATTCTACCAGCCTGGAGCCCGACCAGGGGAACAGCTTTCCACCTGAGGGCAAGAGCTAAGCCAGTGGCTAGCGTGACTGGAAACAGGAGTAGGACAAGGGTGGCACAGTGCGGGAAAGACTGCGGGGCACAGCAGACCAGCAACAAGATGGTCAGACGGGAGAGCCATCATAGCCAGGGGGGCGTGAAGTGGATTGAATGGTGGCCCCAAAAACATATGCCCAATCCTGGACCCTGTGAGCATGACCTTCTGGAAAAAAGGAGTTTGCAGATGTAATTAAGGATCTCGACATGAGATCACTACGGATTACTGGTGGGCCTTATATCCAAAGCAAGTGTCTTTGTAAAAGTCACTGGGATGGAGACAAGCTGACCACATACATGGAGGTAGAAGCAGAGAACAGAGACACACAATCACAGGCCCAGAAACACCTGGGGCCACCAGAAACTGGAAAAGGCACCCAAGGACCACCCCTTCTGGGTAGCAGGGCCCTGCCAATAGCTGATTTCAGACTTGCAGCCTCTAAAACTGTGAGGGAATAAGCATCTTTCATTGTAAGCCACCAAGTCCATGTCATTTGTTATGGCAGTCACAGAAAACAACAAAGGCCTAAACTGTAGCAGTAATGGTGGGAAAGCCAGGACAGGAGAAAGTTGTTTTGATGTGAAGTGAGCATCAGAGTCCCCTGGGGAGCTCTGCAGAACTGCATGCGCACCTGTGTCTCAAGAGGGGCTGCTGCAGGAAGTCTGGGCAGTGCTGAAGCCCTGTTCCCCCCACAGGTGACAGTTTACATGTCAAAGCAAAACAGGCAAATGCCTCCAACCCAAAGGCTTGCCCTGAGCACCCACATACACTCCCATCTCCTCACAATGCCAAGAATCCCCAAAAGAATGTGACACCCATTATTCTACTTCCAGAACTAGCTGGCTTATTCAGTCCATTTGATCTTGGCCCCTAAATTTGAAAGTGTACCTAAGCCACATGTCATCCACCCAGCACATCACCCAGCCTTCCGGCTTTCAGGTCTCCCAGGGATGCCCTATCAAAGGATAGCTGGCTCCTCTCCCCTTGACATGTGGAATCTAATTTCTGTCTCCCTAATCCTGGGCTGGCCCTAGTGACCTGCTTACCGACAGCATGCAGGAAGCAATGCTCTGAGACCTCCTAAAAGCCAGGTGCACAGAAGCCTTGCAGCTTCTGCCTGGGTTTCCTGGAAGCCTGATCTGCCATGTAAAAAACCTAGCTACCCAGGCTACCACACTGAGGGGTCCACATGGGCACTCTGGTCAGCAGTCTCAGCTCAGCCCAGCTTTCCAGCCACCCAGCTAAGGTAGCAGACATGTGAGTGAAGCCATCCCAGACTCTGCAGACCAGCCCGTCCATCAGCTGACCACCATCACAGGACCTCAACCAACACCACCTGCAGAAAAACTGCCTGAACTCCTGAACTGTGTGATAAATACTAACAACATGATGGTTAGATGTACAAAGCAATAGATCCTGGGACAAGCCCCAAGCCCTCAGCATAGTCGTCTCCCCTCACTGACCGCCATATCACTGCCCTGCATGTGTCCCCAGTCTATCTCAAGTCTAGAGTCACTGCCTCTTCCTCCTGAAAACTACCACCAATCTACCCCTTGAGATAGACTCCCCAATCTATCTGAAGTCCAGCACTATCTCTTCCTCCTGAAAATTATCACCAAATCTACCCCTTCCCTCTTCCTGCCCCCAGTCTGGCTCATGAAACCCCTAGGAAATGTAGTTCCAAAACAGAGAGGCCTTCCATGTCTCTGGCACCTGGCATAGCGAGGGACACACAGCAACACTGAAAACCGCCAAGCCACCTAGATGGCAGAAGGGCCATTCTCTTAGTCTGTTTGGAGTTGCTGCAACAGAATACCTAAACTAGGTAAGTAATAAGAAACAGGTTTATTTCTTACTGCTCTGGAGGCTGGGAAGTCCCAGGTTGAGGGCCTCATCTGGTGAGGGATTTCTGCTGCATCACCCACGGCAGAAGGCGGAAGGGCAAGTGTGCACAAGTGTGCAGGAGCAGAACACACCCTTTACCAGGAACCCACTCTCCAGATATAGCATTGATCCACTCATGCAGGCAGGGCCCTTGCAGCCTAATCACCCCTTAAAGGCCCCACCTCCCAGCACCATTGTACTGGGGGATCATGTTTTCAGCACATAAACTTTGGGGGCTCATTCAGACCACAGCAACTGTCTTTTGTATAGTGGAGCCCAGACATAAAGATGAAATTCTGCTTGCAAAGGCAAAAAGCTGCTGTCCCATAAAAGAATGTCAGAACATTCCCTGGCCTGGCAAGCTTTCTGGCCAGTAAGTTTGCATAAATAAAATGTCCAAGTGCTCCTGACACACCTGTTTCAGCTGCTAAGCCAGGGGCATTTCAACTCACACAGAACGGCTTGCAAAACTCACTTTTTCTTTTTAATTCTGGAGACTTAAAAATATCCATTTATTTTATAAATGTGCG